CCCAGATGGTGAGCACCTTCCTCAGAGCTTACCAGGGACCCCATTTTCATTGTATCTCGTGGTCAAATTGCTGAGAGCATTCTCTATGCCATGGTTTTTTTTTCATTTTTATTTTTTGAGGAACCATATTTTGGATTTAAAAAAGTCAAGTTTTATTTGCTTTCCCATGAATGCATTTTCTCTTCTCTCCCACCGCTTCATTCTGTTTCACTTTCTCTTGTTCACCCTGTTGTTCCATTCTGGTTTCTGAGTTAACTGCTATGTTGCTTTAATTTTAATAATAGAACCAAGAAAAAATGAAACAAAAGCATCCAACAGTGAATTTTCCTCTGAGGCCCTTGGGCTAGGTCCCGTGGGAGTCTGTGACGTGTCCCGCGGCCACTGGTCTATAAATAGGAGTGGCGTTAGCTCCAACTTCCTCTCTGACTCATTGGGAAGAGTGGCTGCTGACTTCTAACTGGTGGGGTCCTCATGCACCTTGTGTCTCACTAACATTTGGTTTTATAGGATGAAGATGTGACAATGCAGCCCAAGTGATTTTCATTTTCGAAATCATTTCCAGCTTCAATTTGCAGCTTGGTTTGGGGTCATCTTTTACATTTTTTCATGGGGATTGGGGGGAAAATGTGTATTCTCTCCATGCGTATTGCATTTTATAAAAAAAAGTTAAAAACAAAATTCAACTGAGTAACTTGAAGATCTAATTGGCTTTATTCAGCAATTCATGACTTGGGCAGCATCCCATCCAGCAGATGGAAGGGAGCACCAAGAAGTAGTACAAGAAGGAGGGTTTTTATAGGCAAAGCGGGGGGAGAGGGGAACGAGGAAGTTAAGGGTGGATAATTTCAGGCAAGGTCACCTTCCCTTAGGAAGCAGGGGTCTTATCATGCAGATTACCTTTTACCTTATCAGGAAGATTAGTGCTGACCAGGAAATTCCGAACTGATTGGTTTAAAATTCCACTCCCGGGAGAGGCTGAAATTACAATTAGGTCAGGTGTTAAGTGTTGGTGGCTCTCAGCACAAATGATTCCATTTGGGGGCCTGTTTTTTTTAACAACAAAATCTAAATCACCAATAGTGGGATTTAAGTCTCTAATATTGCCATCAAGCGTTCCCTGTGGTCTACCCAATCCTGCCACAAAAGGACTGGCATCCCCTCCATGGCATGTTCTCCTTGCACACCCACAGACTCGGTGTCTGTGTTTCAGTGTGACGCTGTGTGACTCTCGGAAGGCTCTGTGCATGTGGGTTTTATGGATGTCACGTGCTCTCCTTGCCCACTTCACTTTTTTTACCTTATTTTCCACTTTCTCGGGCGTTAGTACTATGACACACCCACTCTCGCCACGCCTGCACCCTTCCTGCGAGCTTTCCCATCACTTTGCTGCAGGGGTGTCCTTCATGGATTCTGCTTTTCAACAGGAAGGCAGTCCACCCCATTTTGCTGACCCCTGTCCCAGCCAGTCCTGCCCATGTCATTCCGTGAGGCAGCTGTCGCGGGCACTGGTGGCTTCCCTGGACGAGCCAGGGTCCTGGATGACAAGTCCGACTGCTGCATCGGCCCTGGACAGCACCTTCTGACCGTGGGTTAGAACCAGAGCTTGGCCACAGGGCCTCGAGGCTTCAGGGCCTGAACCATCCAGTGCTTGCGGGAGCCCCAGAGGGAGGAGCATGTCATTGGCGGGACATCCAAGCCACCACCCCGCCCCCCCACCCGTGGGAAAAGGTTGCCCAACCAGACAACCTGACTGGATTCTCTCAGCCACCCCACCCACCTGCTGCAGGGATGGGGTCAGGCAGTTCTCGAAGCTTGTGGGCTACCCCTTCCCTCAAGTTCAGAGAGTACATCTGCTGGCTCATTTCCTTCTTAGCAGGGTTTTTCCCTTTAAATTATAAGGCTGGGGGGCGCCTGGGTGGCTCAGTCGTAAGCCTTCGGCTCAGGTCACGGTCCCAGGGTCCTGGGATCGAGCCCCGCATTGGGCTCCCTGCTCACTGAGAAGCCTGCTTCTCCCACTCCCACTCCCCCTTGTTCTCTTTCTCGTTGTGTCTCCCTCTGTCAAATAAATAAATAAAATCTTTAAAAAAATACATTACAAGGCTGGTAATGTCCTGCCTGCGATCTTGCTGTATAACTTTGCAGTATGTCACCACTGGGGGAACCAGGTGAAGGGGCACTGACTCTGTGTTATTTCTTAGAACCGCAAATGGATCTACAGTGATCTCAAAATAAAAAAAAAAATTTACCACAAAAAATAAGGCTGATAGAATATATAATTAAAGAAATAGCTGCCCAGAAGTTAAAAAGTTAGACTATGCAGTGGAGAGTACTTTATTTTGCTGCATGCAGGGAAACCGTTCACATACCTCCCTTAGAGAAGCCCTGAAGTCGGAGCTCTCCCGCACTGCCCCTTCTTACAGACCCTCACTTTACTACCCCAGCCGCGGGAAGGTCTTCTCCTGCCCCTGCAACCAATCAGCCAATGAGAGACACTCACAGCCCAGCCAATCAGAAACCACCACCACCTGGCCCTTCCCTTCCTCGGATGGATTTTCCTTTAAAGCAGCCCCTCCCACGTTCCTCCTTTTTCTCGGTAGAGCGACTTTCCTATGTTCTCTGGACCTGCCTGTGGTGTTATGACTTGCACGTCCTGAATTTCCAATTTTTCTGCTGTTCTCAAATAAACCCATTTTGCCGGGTTAGAAAGTGGCCAGTAGTTGCCACTTGGTTACAATGCTTTTGTAACAAATACCCCAAACTCAGGAATCAGCAGCAGAAAGCATTCTTTCCTATCCACCCATCTGAGGGGGGCCTGGAGAGGGGCCTGTCCGGGTGCGCTCTGGGCTGCAGTGGGCTCCTGTTCCTCTCCAAAGGCTCTCGTCCTCCTCGGACCGGTGGCCACCATGCCACCTTCTCAGAGCTGGAGGCGATGGGCCTGCCATGGGGTGTGAGTGCGGGGGAGTGGGGCGGGACACTGGCTGTCACTGCCCCATATCGGACACCTGCTGTTCCCTTCCCGGGAATGCATCCCACGGGGCGGCTGCCAGGGCCCTGGGCATGACTCCTGCTCTATCCAGGCAGACCTCCTGGTCATTCCTTTGTCTTTGGTCCCCCTAGATGGATGAGGCCTAGGTCCTGCCCTTGGGCATTGGGCTTTTGCCGCCCCATCTCCCACCCCGGGGGCCCTCTCTAGGGGGGACGGTTGGCAGCCAGTCTCCCCATCCTCCCCTCCCCCATGAAAGTTACAGGTAAACCTCAGCCAAGCGGAGTCTGGAGGCTGGGAGGGGGCCCTGCCACTCAACCCCAATCACAGGAAGAATCACAGACCCCACAGAAGAACGCTCCGCAGGAGAGAATCACCCGCGACAGGCCCCAACAGCAGAAGTTCACGGAATCCCCTACAAGAAATCAGCCACCCCTGAAACTCGGCCATCGGGAAACCGAGAAACCGAGAAACCGTCATCACCCTGAACTCTTGCTTTTCGCCAGTGGACTTCCGTCCAAAACAACCCCTCCCAACTTCCTCCTTCTTCCCCATAAAATATGTCCCTCTTCTTTGTTGGACTTGCCAGAGCTTGCATGTCCCAAAGGGCAATTCGATGGGTAGAGGAAGGTGGGAGCCAGGGGGCCAGACCTGACCTCCCCTCCCTGGGGCTTCCGGGGTTCCTGGCTTCCCCTCCACCCCCAACCACAGCCTGGCTGGTTCTTTGTCAGTCTTGAGAGCTGACTGGGGGACCCAGGGAAGCGCCCACTGGGACTCAGGCACTAGGTGCATTTGGGTAGGGGGCTTGCTGTGACCCCAAGAGCAGGTGTCTGGCCTTGTTGGCGTGGTAGGCAGCCACCAGACCCAATGTGGGTCGGGGTGAATCCTACAGGTTGGCGCTGCGTAGGGGGAGGGGAAGTTCATCAAAACCCCAACAGTTCTGTCCTGCTTGGCACAGTGACCAATGTCCCTGGCTTAAGCTTGAGGGTTAGCCAGAAAAGGAACGTTTAAAATGAGCCAAAAAGAAAAATCACATGAACTTCTAGCCTGGGAGGGCAGGCGGGATAAGCCCCAGCAGGGGTCAGCGGCCGGCACTCCTCCAAGAGGCGGTCACAGCTGGTAAGGGGGCAGGAGTGCCTCGCTCCAGGACTTCTGCGACCTGCAGCCTGGGCCAGTAGGTGTGGGTAGGTTCCAGTGGGCTCTGGAAGGGGCCTCCCAGTGGGGGCTGCCTGAGGGGGTGGTCCAATTGGGGTTCTGGGAGGAGTGGTTCAGTGGCGGCTTCAGGGGAGCGTGGGAGGGGACAGGGGAACAGACCAGAGGGCTGCATGGGGAGGCGGGGGCAGGGGGAGGTGCGGTCTGGTGGGGGCTGCAAGGGGGGCAATCCAGTAGAGGCTCCGGGTGAGATGGGGGGTCAGAGGGACGGCCCAGAAGGGGCTGCTGCGAGGGAGGGGATGGTCCAGTGGGGGCTGCATGGGGACGGAGCGTGGGGAGGACAGTCCAGCGGAGGCTGCGGGCGGAGGGGCAAGGGGATGGTCCATAAGGGGCTCGGAACGGGGGGGGGCGGGGGGACGGTCCAGTGGGGTCTGCATGGGGGCGGGGGAGGGGACCGAGGGACAGTCTAGTGGTAGCTGGGGACCGAGTGGTGCGGCAGATGGACGACCCAGCGGGGGACTGGGGCGTGGCGGGGGTGGGGAGACAGTCGAGAGGTGGCTGCATAGGGGGCGTTATCGGGTGGGCCGTCTGGTGGGGGCTGAGGCCGGACGGGCAGACGCTCCGGGGGTGCGCCAGGGCCCTCAGTGCGGCG